GTGGTCGCGCCTCCGGTGCAGGAAGCCGCGGAAAAGGAGCTGGGTGGCGAGGCGGTGGGCGCCACACCGGCCAGAGGACTTGAAGTCAGAAACAGTATTGGGATCTTGATTGGTTGGCTGGACCCGGGGGTCAAGACAGAAACACGCGCAGCTCCGCGCAGTGCAGGAACGGCGAGAGTGGTGTCCTCTGCGTGGAGAGGCATAACGAGAGCCGTACGCGTGTTGCGCTGTTGTTGTCCCCCGAAGTGAAACCGTCCAAAAGTTTCCCCCCTGGCTGAGGGCAGCGGACAAGGCGAGGCGACGTGTGGGGTTTCGAGGTAATAGGTACGCGACAGTGCACATTCAGGTGGTGATCGGCGGTAAGTCGCCGATACGCGTTCTCCGGCCATCCTGTGGTAGCGCGACGGGATCGCGGACGTTGCGCGCTCGAGGTCGCCGAGACACGCGAGACCCTCTGGCGGCGCCGCGGGCGCCCGGCTGCTTCGGTCCGGGAGCGACGACGACACGACGACGGAGGTCAGCGGTACCGGTGAGGACAACGACGCCGTCCCCGACGGTACCTGCTCAGTGACGAACGCAGTGCTGCGCAACTCACGTGACGGCGGCGACGGAGACCTCAGAGCTCACGACGGGTGAGTGACGGATGACTATGATTACAGGGTAGCTAGGAACGCCACGGACGTCAGCAGCGCCGGGCTCGAGGAAACGAAACGTTTCGTCGGGTTCGGCGGTGCGCGGCTCCGTGGCCATCGGCTGCGGCAGACGGCGACGGAGACGCCAGGGCGAAAATCACGGAGACTATCAGGACAGCGGCGCGTCGTGTCGCTGTCCGCAGATTCTCTCCCCTTTTCGCCCAGTGGTCCGATCCCGAGTCGCAACGCCACCGATTCCGCAGCTTCACCGAGATTATAGTCGCCAGCTCGCTCCGAGCTTTGCAGGTCACCGTCGTTGCCGGCACAAGCAGTCGTCTTCAGCACCCGCAGTACCGTCAAGCAGTTCACGACATCGCGCACTAGCCTCTCGTCGCCAATCGTCGTCGCTCTCGCAGCCGTCGTGGCCGGGCTTCGTCCGCTGCCATGGTCGTCTTAGCGGTCTCGAGCAAACTCACCCGCGACTCACGTCCGCCCCGCAGGACAGCCCGTGAGAACGTTGTAGAGGTGACCAGTGGCCATATACCAGTTACCAACATCATCAGCACCACCAACTCGCCATCACGTACCCCCCGACATCGCCTCTTCTTGTCCGATGCCTTTTTTTTTATTTAAATTATTATTTCTTATTTTTTGTAACACATAATATTTTCATTTTTCGGCATTCAAAATTGTAAATTGCAAAATTATTTCTTCGTTACACGGTAAAATGTTGTTCTTTATTTTTCGTATTAAAGAGTACGATTTTATTTATTTCAACAGAATAATGGCCCCATTGAACATGATCGTGTTCACGTGGAACTCAAACAGAATATTAAACAAGAATTTTTTGTTACGTACCAAATATCAATGAAATATATTGAGGTATTGGCCACGTGAGAGTATAAGTTTACTGTGTGTGGTGACATTTTTTCTGCCCCAAAATGTGATAAAAGAAGAAAAATGAATTTAAGAAAACACGCACACATATTATTATAAAATCAATCCATTCATCGCTCTGCTCAGAATTTAAAATAATAATAATAATAACTATAGTTTTTGTTAATGTTGTTGTATGAACACCACATTGTTTTTTCGTAATACTAGGTAGGTACTTCGACGACCCGTCGAAATGGTTTTCGAATGATATATAGTATATACCTAAGTGACGTTTTAAGAGCTTGCATTATTTTTCTTATATAAATTATAATGACAGCAATCACTGGAGCAGAAAAATCATTTTCCTAACTAAAACTAATAAAAAATTACTTAAGAAACGCATGTGGACGAGCAGTGGCGTACACACGAGGGGGGGGGTTTTGGGTGTTCAAACCCCCCCCCCCCCTTTAGTATTTTTTCAGTTTACGTAATAACGTAAAAATGTATAATAAAAATGATGACAATTTAAAAAAAATATTATATTCCAAATTATACTCCATTATATTATAACTTATAAGCAACCCAGTTTGTTGTTATAATATATTGTAGATATTATTGATAACTTGTTACAAATTAATGAAATTATTGGAAAATTTGTTCAAACACAAATATGAGGGTCGACAATCGTGTAATCCGATATAATATGCCTTAATAGCTATCGCAGTATCGCTAATACTATAGTATAGAATCTATTTCTCAGTTTTCATTTTTCAATCAAATTCCTGACGCTCTGGACGTTTAGTAAATTGTACTGTTTACTGTTTAAATATTTTATAAAACAATAAAAATGAAAAGAATAAACGAATATTTTTCTAACTCACTAATTTATGATACAATTAATTCGGAGGAACCAGGTAAATATTTAATACATTATATTATCAACCTAGGACCTAGGTACAAAAAAATGATTAATATGGTAAAAATAAATTTCTCTTTATACCTATCTTTTATTGAATTGTATATAATATATTATTATATACATATTGTATGTACGCGTGTAACTTTGTAGTTAGGTATACTAAATAATTACCTGTAGGTAATAAGTATATATTTTTTAAATAATAATCGAGAATTGTAAAAATATTTTTAATTTCACCTTAAGTCATTGCTAATGAACCGATTACTCATTATGTACAAAATAATTACTATAGGTACATCGTTTTGATTCATCAATGTATTATATATATATATATATATGTGTATAATTTTTTTTATATGTAAGCCCCCCCCCATTGAAAATAGCTGTGTACGCCACTGTGGACGAGTGCGTTCATCTAGTATAGCAATTTCAAATATAAAAAAAGAACGAACTAAAAATCTAAATATTGAGAAAATTATTGACAATTTTGCTTTATAAATTATATTTCTTTTTCTTATAATAGAATATCTTAGATATGTATGTAATAATGATGTTAAATAAATTATTAATTATTTAGGATTACTCTTAAATATCATATTACCTAATACCTAATATAGTAATATACCTATATGTTAAAATATGGTTATAAATTTATAATGCAATTCGATTTGTAGTAAAAATATAATGGTATAATACTGTGAATTGTTTTTCAAGGGAGCCCCTAAATTTTCTTTTGCACCAGGGCCCTCAGAGTTCAAGATTCGGCCCTGAGTAAGAGTCCTCCTATCATTGGCTAACTTAATTAAACTAGGTACCTAAAAATTTTATTTTTGAAATTTAATTTCCTGAGAAATGTGCGGTTTTATACTTTTATGTGCTTAAGATGATACAAGTATCAGAATTTCAATGTAACCTTTAGTTTTCAAATATTTAAAATTTTAAAATTTTTGAATTTATTTGTTTATTTTATATTTAAATCGCCATGGCGCGCCATCTAACAAAAATATCACTTTTAAGATTATTAATATTTAAAAAATTTAACAATATAGTATGTATATGAAATATGTATTATAGTGCACCGGCCGTGCACTAGTGTAGTGCTAGTTCAATTTCAGTACACACTTTTATTGTCAAATCTAAAACGCTATAACTGACAACTGTCTAGTTACTACCTGAGTAGTAAGGTACCCTCCTGATAATAATATCACGTCTAGGAAAGAACTGGGACGATGTCGACGGTAACCGTTGGGCTTGATGAGAATATGGTACTGTTCTATTCAATCTAAAAGAGAAAGTTTTAACACTAATAATAACACGGCCTGTTGGTCTAGGGGTATGATTTTCGCTTCGGGTGCGAGAGGTCCCGGGTTCAAATCCCGGACAGGCCCGTTAATTTTTTTGCAAAATTTTCTTCCCCTTCCACCATCGTGATGGACACTTTCAATCGCTCCAAACCTTCTTTTTAACCTATTTAGTGTTAATAGTTAATATGATTGATTTTAAGCTACGCGTCTAATGATGCCTTAGATCGTTGCATGACATTCGTGATTAATTACATCATTTCATTGTTATAGCAGGAACCTATTATAAACAATATACTAGGTATATAGTAAGTAATATTGTAATAATATTATTATATACACCTAGTTTAACTAATTATTACGATGTCACATTTTTTTTTTTTTATCTAGCTACTCATCTATGTAAATAACCGTAATTTATTGTATTTACTTATTTATTTATAACTACTTTTGCATGTTAAAAATTGTCTTTCTATCAACAAGTTAGATGACCTCGTTGTCAGTAACACTTTATTAATAATAAAAAAAGTATGTGTGGTACCAGTACGCGCGCGGGAAGTTAAACTTCTTTTGAATGGTACACGTGAGTGAGTGAAAAAGAAAGAAAATAATATTAATTAATTTAAAAAATGAGAAGAAGTATTCGGAATTATTTATTATTGATAGTTTTATTATTTTTTTTATATTTTTATTCGACAGATCGATGGATAATTGTTTGTAGTATTGTTTTTATCCAAGACAATAGATTTGTGAGTGAATAATAATAATAATAATAAAAATAAATAATAATCGATCATTAATTATTCATATTAATTAACGACCATATTATGGACATACTTATTAGTTATTACATTATTATCATCGTCGTCGAAACCTCATCGGCTGTCACCACAGATATAAAATATATATCTGTGGCTGTCACCGACCAACATTATTTTTTTTTATTTTTTTTTTTATTTATTTATTTATACGGACAAAAGTCCAATTCACAATATATTTGTATAGATAACTCTAATACAGTTGTTTACTCAACGCCTCTTTTAGATTTTAAAAATCTCACACCGCCCCCCCCCCCAATCAATTTTTTAAAATGATAAACGTTTTATTTTTTAATAAGCTATTTAATATAAGACAAAATATCATTTAACATTTTAACGCTACAATTTAGTTAATTTTAAATTTAAATACCTATAGGTACTAATAATTAATAATTATATAATTTGATTTGGAATTCGCTAATATAAAATTATAACACAAAAAATACTTATGTGACTAATGACTGCCCTGAAGTTGATGTTTTCCTGCTAACGAAATGATATCTGGCTCAATAGATGTCAGCATTAGTCTTAAATCTCCTCTTTCACATATTTCTAATTTATTTCTTGATTTGGTCAAAAGTTGTTGAACCTCACTTAAGCCTTTTTCGACCAGGTATGTCGACGGAAAAGCCATAATTAGTAATTCCACTTCTTTCCAAAGTTGAGGGAACATCATTTTTTGTTTGAGCCAAAACAACTCGTATCCATTATGTTTAAAATCGATTTTAGCTTCTTCATTGTGCTTCACTTCCAGTAGTTCTTCTTGAATTAATGGTTGGACATTTTGTATATCTGCTAAAAATGGATTCAATACCCATTCTGGTATAATCAGGTCGTTGACATCCTTAAATCTAGTACTCATATTATCTTTAAGGAATTCAAGGTGTGCACAGTATATTTCTAAGTCAGAATCTAAAATCTGTTGTGATCTTGATAAGTTAGAAAAATTATTAAATTCACGACGACTAATCTTTTCTTTAAAAAGACTTAATTTTGAAATAAATGCACTAATAATGGATTTAGATTTGATAAAATAAATTTTGTCACCTTGCAAATTTTTATTGACTTCATTAAGTTTTTCAAAAACATCTGCTAGGTATGCGATATTCGTCTCTCTTTTATGTAATTCATCTTAAAGTTTTTTATCAAGTGGCTGCAGAAATTCTAGTATAGTTTGAAATAAATTATAAAAGCGTGTCAAACAATTTTCTTTTGATAGCCACCTAACTTCGGTGTATAGAACAAGGCGTTCAAAGTCTTCATCATTTTCGTGGCATAATTGTCGAAACAAATTATAATATACTAGCTGATCCCGTGCACTTCGTTTCCCCGTTAAATGTATCAATTCTATATGTCTCAAAGTTTGTTCAATTCGTTATTTAATATTCGGTGTATGCGGTGTTCAAAATTAATCTTAACTTTTCCGTTGCCCCGAATAAAAATTCTGATTCGCAGCAGTAATCTACCTGCGATAGATCGCGTACCCTGTGCTGTTTGTACGTAAGTGTATGATTTAACTCTAAAGTATCAAAGTTATACCAAGTTTATCGTTTTTACTTCATTTCGCCTAAGGTGGATTATTATAATCATTTTATACAAAATCCTATCCTAACCTAACCGTACTAAAACCCGATGAAAAAAAAACAAATTTAACCCTTAGTAAATTAACCTATCTTCTTCCCAGACGTCTAATCTACCCACAAACATTAATTTATATATATATATATATAACTATATACATACACGGACTATAACTATACAGACTCTGGAACTACTTATTGGATCTTTTTGTATTTATTATATATATATGATATATGTATACCTATTGACAAAAAATAATGATACAAATCAAAAACATGCCCGATTAACCAATAGCAACCGATATAATATAATACACTGGTGGATTTTCCTAACATTTTTTTTTTCATATAAACCTTATCCATGAAATACTCTTTCATTTAAAAAAAAATAAAGAAGATCTGATAAGAAGCTCCAGAGATAAGTAGTACAGAGATTTTCATTTCACATTTTTATAGTTAGATATTATATTACAATTTATATTTAAAAAGTAAAGCAAATAGTTTTTTTTTTTTATTATTTTTATTATTGCAATAGCTTAAAAACCCATGGCAACCATTTATAAACAAAAATTTCCATCGGAAATCTCAAAATTCCCGTTTGAGCACCTCCCGGGGTTGGTCCTCTCCCTTTTTAAATTAGCCTATCTTTTAAGTTGGACCAAATTACACGCGGTGTAAAAAATTTCATCAAAATCGGTTAAGTGGTTTAGGAGTCCATTGAGGACAAACATTGTGACACGAGATTTATATATATTAAGATAATATAACAACACTACCATGACAATATTTATTTATTTACGGACATGTACGCTTTCGCGTTCGTACGGCCGCCCGTTCGTATACGCGCCGCCGCTTTTTTTTTCCTCACTACCCTGCGTAAAGAAGTATAGGTATCTAACTTAAAAAAAAAAATTATGTATAACAGAGCACGGATTTTTATATGATAAATAACTAGCTAAAAATATACTCTAAAAGTTATTATATTTATATTCAATAAATTATAAAAAAGTTCCTATACATATGTTAAAATATTTGAGAAGAAGACACTATAGGTATGCAACCGAAAATGTATAGGTTATTGCCATGCAACATTTCAATGAGCAATTAAACACGGTCCTCATTGATATGAAAAGTTTCAAAAAGTCTATTAATATTCTAAAATGCCAATAGACAAAGTAGATTTGAACAAGAAACGGTCTGTGTTCTATACGGATTTTTTTTTTCATAAATCTTATCACAATATTTAGTTCAAATTATTTACAATATTATTACTCTATGGACTATGGTTCAGATACGCTGTAGAAGTAGAACATACTAGAACCCACGTAGGTGTTGCGGTGCACATCACGGCGCGGATTTCGTCAAAAGAGTCGATTTATAAGCTTTAAACTAAGTTTGTTTTCCTTTTCTTTTATTGGGCTTAAACTTTTTATTATTAAAATAAATATTTAATATCCCGAACGGCACGAACAATAATATGCGACCCAACTACATATCTAAGTGTCGTAAACGCATAATTTTTTTCCTAGTGCGAAGTGAATAAAATACGTGAGATCGAGTACAGCGACAATATTGAATCGCGACTCGTGAAGTTAAGTTAAAGAAAAAGAAGTGTAGCAGCAGTGCAGCACGGCCGTCCATGTATACTGGAAACCAAATATTCCCATTTAAACCGTGTAAATATTTTGTTATTCCCGACACTTTAAAAAATTACTGGGAATTTCCAATCTTGACATCCCAAATGTAAAGTAGATTCGCTATTCTATCAAAAAAGTTACTGATGTCGAAAATTTTAGTATTTTTCTACCCTAAATATTGATGACAGACATTAATAAAACACATAATCGTAAATACAATATATATTCATTCGCTTCACGTAAGGTAAAAAGTATTTTTAACTGTATAATACTTAATGTGTAAAATATTTTCAATGTACAATAGTAATTAATCCAAATTTAATTATTTATATTTATTTATTATATTATTTGAACTATATACATTAGTCGGATAGTGTATACTCGGATTACCTAGTATATTTATATAGTAGGTACTAGCTGATCCCGTGCACTTCGTTACCCGTTAAATGTACCAACTCTATTATATGACTCAAACTTTGTTCAATTCGTTATTTAATATTCGGTGTATGGTGTTCAAAATTCATCTTAACTTTTCCGTTGCCCGGTATAAATATTCTGATTCGCAGCAGTATATTATCAGGCAGGTAATCTACCTGCGGTAGATCGTGGACCCCGTGCTGTTAATACGTAACTTTATAATTTAATTCTAAAGTATCAAATTTATACCAAGTATGTCACTGAACTCTTCCTAAACGGCTGGACTAATTGTGAATGCCATGTCTGAAAAAAATTTCTTATGAATTTCTAACTCAAAATAATTTGAAAATTTTCGTCATGTTTATGTTTTTTTTCAATACTTGAACTTTAAATGCTTATCAAAAAAACTGTGACTAAGGATTTTTAATATTTTTCATCTGCCTTTGAAACAATATACTAGGAGCCTTCTATTAAAATTTCAATCTTTTTTAACCAACAAATAAAATTGTATTGATAATTTTAGAAAAAAAAACTAATAAAAATGGAAAAAGAAAATGTTCCTTAGCAGTTCAAAACAAATCATAATATTTTGAAAATTTTATCGTGTATAGAAAATGCAAATATAAACAACCATTGAAAATTTCATGTATAGATTCATTTGTTTAAGAGTTACATCAAAAACCAAAAGCACTTTTGTGGAAAACCGATTTTGCGTAAAAATTCCCGTTTTTCCTTAATTTTTATGTTGTTTTTCCCGTCGCTTTTGAAAACTATTAGGAAATTTAAAATTTGACCTCCTGAATGCACCAACTAGATTCACTTTCCAATCGAACAAGATATACTGTTGAAGAAAATCGAAGCAGTTTTACTGCCCTATAAACCGTGTTGATACACAAAAAATTAAAAAAATTAAAAAAAAAAAAGGTGGGTAAGTGGATGTCGCTCTGCTGTACAGTAGGTTACAAGTGGGTCACTGTATAATGGATGCTATTAAATTTGAATTCAATGATTCAATATCATTGTATAAGAAAAACGATTCTGAGCGAAGACGGTATATCAGTCTAGGTTTAAGACAAATTATATACATATCTATGGTATTAAAAAAAAAAATTGACCTTTAATAAATTCCAAATTAATCATATCACATTATCACAATATCCATTAGGTACTTATAACACGTTATACATCAAGATCAATAACAAACCTTGATACTATCATAGAATATAGATATATAATAGTACACTTTAGAAGTTTCAAGTAGGTACCAACGAAAAATATTATATAATCACAACAAAATAACTAGGTTTTTTAATATGTAATTTCGTCCAAATTTGAACATAAAATGACTATAAAAATAAACTGTGATTGTATATTTTTTAGATTTTTCGGTAAGAGAATTAACTACTTACGTGGAATCTTGTTTTAAATTTTCAATCCTTAGTTATAAAAACTGAACATTTTATAATTTATTAATTACGATGATTAATAATTTTCGAGATTTTGAAAAATTCTGTCAAAATTCGATGTTTAAATGCTTATAAAAAAAAATTGTGCCTATGTATTTTTAATATTTTTCAACTGATATTGTAACAATATATCAGGAGCCTTGTATTAAATTTTTACACTTTTTAGCCCAACAGATAAAACTTAATTGATATTTATAGAAAAAAAAAACTAAAAAAATTGAAAACTGAAAATGTCCGTAAACGCCTCAAAAAGAGTCAAAATATTTTCAAAATTGTATGGTGTATAGGAAATGCTAATATAAACATTCAGTGAAATTTTCATGTATCTACAGTAATTCGTTTTTTAATTACAACAAAAAAAGGAAATTGCCACTTGAGAAATCGAGTGAATATCCAATGTTGTAAAAATTTGAATTTCAAACGCTCATAAAAATTTAATTTGACTTTCCGGTAGAGATTTTTTTATTGATAAAGGTAGACAATCTTATGAGTAATCTTGTATTAGATTTTCAAATCTTAGATTTAAAAAGAAAAATTTTTACGAATTTTTAACTCAAAATAATTTGCTAATTTTTGTGATTTTTCCATATTGTGTCAATTTTTGAACTTTAAATGCTTATAAAAAAAAATTGTGACTAAGGATTTTTAATATTTTTCATCTGCCTTTGAAACAATATATTAGGAGCCTTCTATTAAATTTTCAAGCTTTCGCAACCAACAAATAAAATTTTATTGATATTTCTAGAAAAAAAACGAAAAAAAAACGAAAAATGAAAATGTCCCTAAACTGTTCAAAATAAATCAAAATATTTTGAAAATGTTATCGTGTATAGAAGATGCAAATATAAACAACCAGTGAAAATTTCATGTACCTACGGTCATTTGTTTTAAAGTTACACCAAAAACCAAATTCAATTTTCTGAAAAATCGATTTTGCGTAAAAATTCCCGTTTTTCCTTAATTTTTATGTTGTTTTTCCCGTCGCTTTTGAAAACTATTAGGAAATTTAAAATTTGACCTCCCCAATGCACCAACGATATTCACTTTCCAATCGAACAAGATACTGAAGTCGAAAATCGAAGCATTATTTCGACTACTTATCGTGTACACAGATACAAAAAAAATAAAAAAAAAATAAAAAAATAAATATAAAAACACTTATCATTGTAAAATCAATACATTCATCGTTCCACTCAGAATCTAAAACACACATCATTGTAAAATCAATACATTCATCGTTCCACTCAGAATCTAAAATGAAATCAAGAACTACTAAAACTTAAAAGTAATGAAAAATTAGTGAATGGTTCTGGTTGTGTTCTGAACAAATGCAAATTATGGAAGGATTATATATACGATATCCATATATATTATAAGCTATATAATATAGTTACTATGGTACAATGGGGAAAATACATATTAATTATTATTGAAAACAATATTTATATGACCCGCATGATTTGTTCATTGTTTGTAGTGGTCGGTGTCGATAATGAATGTTTCTAGGAAATATTGACCGGAAACGATTACTGCAGATTAAACTCACACACACTAATATTAATTTACTTTGCCCACACTTACAAGTCATTTAAATGTCATCATGTTAAATTGCCTATATTAATTTCTTTTAAACACGACCGACGGAGCCCCCTTAAATAGGTTTTCTATGAATATATGGGTCTCGCCACACCATGCGTTTTAGCGGGTCCGGGTAAAACGCATCCGGTCGACCGGAACAACAACTTGCATTGTTTCTAATCATAGGTGCTACATTAGAGCGTTTTGTCGGGACCTGTCGATTCCTGCCGCGAACCGACCGCAACATGTTGCGGTCGGGCGGGAAACGTATCGGCAGGACATGTCATCAAAACACATTATTTTAAATCGTGTATGCCACACTGTGCGTTTTAGCCGCTGCGTTTTTTGAATATTTTACCTAGACATATTTTTTAAATATTTAAATAAATATTTATATTTTGAAAAATGGTTTTTGATACCGATAAATTTATATCATGTATCCAAAATAACCCTTCCATATGGGAAATTGGATCCAAAGATTATATGGATAAGCATATAAAACAAAAAAGTTGGAATACGATTGGTGAGTACATATTTGAAGATTGGAGTGAGCTTGAAGAACATGCAAAAGAAAGTAAAGGTAAGGAATCTAAGTTATATTTATATTTATTGTATTGTATACAATTATTATATTATACCATGTAAATATAAATTACATTATTGAATACATTTATTAAAATATTTTTAAATTTAAAAATAATTTTATTCTAAAACTTATATTTTTATTTAAAAATCAAATCATGTCATATTGAAAATCTACTGCTCCTGGACCCATAAAGTAGTTGGCAAAGTAATCCCTCACTTCAACTCCATGCGAACGAGTCCCTGTTCCACGAGCTTCAATATCTTCTAAGTTGTGGGTTTCAGAATCTTCATAATTTATACCATCTCTTTTACGAACAAAGTTGTGCAGTACGCAACATGCTTTTATAATGTCATCCGTAAAATCTGGCTCCACCTGAATAGCCGTATGTAAAACACGCCATTTATTTGCGAGTACTCCAAATGCACATTCGACTGTGCGCCTTGCTCTGGATAATCGGTAGTTGAACACTCTTCGGGAATCAGTAAGGTTACGTCCAGGGTACGGTCTAAGTAAGTTTGCATGTAAAGCAAATGCTTCATCTCCAATAAACACATACGGTTGTGGGTTGGTACTTGTATTTGGTAAAGTAACTGGTTCTGGTATGTTCAATTTACCTTCATATAATTGTTTACCAAATGCACATTCCTTGAACACATTAGAGTCCCCTTCACGACCATATGAACCAACATCGATTACAACAAAATTCAAATTTGCATCAACTATTGCCATCAAAACGATAGAGAAATACTTCTTATAATTAAAGTAGAACGAACCGGAGTTGTTAGGATTTCTACACCTTATATGTTTGCCGTCTATTGCTCCTAGACAATTTGGAAAATTTGTTTTAGAATAAAATATATTTGATATTTCCACCCAATCTTCTTTGGTCGGTTTAGGCATCTCTTTTGAATTTAAAGTTGACCATATCACTTTACAAGTGTCTTTTACGATCACTCCAATCGTACTTCTTCCCACAAAAAAATCAAATTTTAATGCAGCGAAGCACGTACCAGTAGATAAATATCTAATAAACAAAAAATATATTATTAATAAATACATTTTGATGGGTCGCTTTTTTTAGTTTTTACATTCTGAGCGTAGCAATGAATGCATTGATTTTACAATGTGTATGTTTATTTTTATTATAATTTTTTTTTTGTGTCTGTGTACACGATAAGATTTTGAAATAATGATTCGATGTTTTCAACTTCAGTATATTTTTCGATGGGATAGTGAATCTTGTTGGTGCACATGGTCGAAATTTAAAATTTCCAGTAATTTTCAAAAGCACAGGGAGAAAAAAAATAAGAAAAAACGGTTTTTATACTAATTTGATTAATTATTTATAATATTATAAATTAATATAATTATAGTGACCGATCTGAAAGCCAAATGGAGACATATTAGAGACCACTATTCAAAATTTATGAATCAGGGTAAAAGTGGCGATAGCGCTAAAAGAAAAAAATATGTATACGCAGAATCACTGACGTTCTTGCAGCATATAATTAAAAAAAGAAGGTAATTAATATATAAATCTAAATTATAATCTTTTATTAATTATTACAATCTTAGTTATATTTAATATAATAAAGATATTTATTACAAACATATTTATAATGTAATCTAAACTCGAAAATTTTAGATTTTTAAAAATACTTTGAAACACAAAAATAATCACAGTTTTTGTTAAAAATTACCAAAAAAATTATTCCCTAAGATCGGACCACTGCACTGTGACACATTTTGTATCTACATAATTTTTTTTTTATAATTATTTCTGGTTACGCCCCTGCAGAGTAGTTAGTTTTATTTGATAAGAAATTATAAAATTTTCATAATTTTCTAATTTTTAAAAATGTACATAACAAAAAATATTCATGAAAACGTACATCACTAGTAATGACAACTAGATGAATTATTTTTTATTTGCTCATAGGACGACAGGTAATTTCGATGAAAGTGTACAAGAAGAAGGAGAAAATACCGGTGGAGAAGATTCATCCCACGAGTTGGTTTTAGATAACGAAATGATACCACCTCAATCCGACAGATATTCAACTCCAAAAAGTAAAAACAAAATAGTTCCAAGGTACAAATGATGACACCATTTCAAAAAGAGTTACTAAGAAATTTAGCTACTTCCGAAGAAGATGTAACTTCTGATCCTGATAAGGCATTTTTATATTCCTTATTACCCGATTATAAAAGACTAAACTATGATCAAAAAACAGATTTTCGTCTCATGACTCTACAATATTTTAGAAACGTATCATTAGGAACTAATCAACTACAATCAACTCCACCATATTTTAACATTAATCAAAACACTAGTCAGAATGTCTCTATTCCAACTCAATATTCAAATGTATGTCCTTCATTCAACCCTGGCATGGGGAACAATCAAAATCATAATCTTATGCCACAACCCTTGCCAATATATTCATCTAATTTCAATCCAAATGCTCAACATTCCACATTATATTCTAAAAGCTCATATACTTATGATCAATCCCAACAACCTACTACTAGTGGAGAATTGATTGAAAAATTTTAATAGTATAATATGAAGTAAGTAAAGTTTGAATTATACTTATTGCAATAAGGTGCACCATTTCAGTTTTTAAATTCAAACATGACATTTTTAATTTTATTTTATAAATATTAAAATAACAAGGTTTTGTTATACAGTAAAATATTATATTATGTTGCTTATTATGTATTAATGAGGTTAAAAAAGAATGTAATTTTTAATTTTTTAAGAACATGAATTTGTTTCATTTTTTATATTTTATAGTTAAGTAACGAAGATTGTTATATTTTAATGTTATTTTTTTATACTATACTGTTAAATATTATTTAATCTTTGAATAAAAATAAAGTATTACATTTTTTTTTCTTATAATATACTGTTTGTCTGTGTATTTTCATAACCTATACAGAAATTATGTTAAAAAAATAAAAATAATAAATTTTAATTTTTGATAACAATAGTCAATAGGTGATTAGTGATAACTTATTAATTATTAATAATCATATATATATATATATCACGTTGAAAAACTTAACTTTTATACGTAATATAAAAAAAAACTTACCTTAAAGTAATTGTTAGACGTTCCTCAGCAGATATCGGATTACGAAATTCTGTGGTATTTTTCGTAATATATGGCCGTAGAGTTTTTAGCAACTCATCAAAACTTGAAATTGACATACGGTAATACTCATAGAATTTATCAGGATATTGTCTAATATTTTCAAAAAATGTCGTAAACTGGCCTATTTTCTCACGATCCGTATTTAGTGGGTGTACCCAATACCTTCGTTTTGCTTTCGGTGGATCTAATAAACTTAATGCTTCGGCTACAGCAACAACTTTAATTTTTTGACGATTCATTTAATCTATATTTAAATGTATTTAATATAAACTAATTAATAATAAAATATTATATAACTACGATTGAACACATTTATAAAATACAAGTATAGTATACTTACTTATGGAGTGTTCAAAAAATAAATACAAAAATACAAAAATGTAATAATTTTGACACACTTTAATTAGGTAGGTAGTTATTTAAATATTATACTTGTACCTATAACTTTATAACTGACAAGTAATATAATAAAATAATTTTGCATAAATTACGTAGGTAATCTAGGTCTACCTCAGAGAGCGTAGATATGTTGAATGTAATGAAATTATTGGCCGTAGGTGTTTGACGAATTTGGGGTCTAGCGGTGGCGTTTGGAACTTGGAATGCAGTGGCGGGAACAAAAACGCATAGATGTGACATAGGCAAAATCATCCGGTCAAAACGCATCCGGTTTACCCGGACCCGCTAAAACGCATGGTGTGGCGAGACCCTATAGCTTGTGTGGAAGACTACATTTTATATGATCCTATTAACTATAAAGGTTTTATATAGAATTTACGGGAGATTGTAAACTCGGCCCGAGGAAAAAACATTTCCAAAAGGTCGATGGTAAACTCGGCTTTTTTTCAGGTCAAAATTATTTAGGTGTAAAAACCATCATTTTTCTTATAATATTTTTGAGAAACATTTAGCATTACCCAGAGGACACCACGAGGAGGCGGTTCTTATTATCCTTCAAAAATTATTTTCATTTTCATATTATTATTCATAGTATGAAATTCGTTATTTAAAAGAAAAATGTAATTAAAATGTTATAATATTGATAATAAAATAATAATAAATGTAATTATATAAATGTATAAGTGTAAAAATGTGTATAAATATAATAAAAAATATATAAGTAAAATTGTAGTGTAAATAATGAGTGAAAAATTTTAGTATAATAATATATAAATCTTGTTTTTTAAGTAAAACGCCTTGTATTTTACATATTCACTCACTGATATTTCTTCATTTTTATATTTTATAAGTGTTCTTTCTGAGAGTTCTTTTTTTTTTTATATTTTGGAATTTAAATGGTCCATTTAGGCTGTTGATTTTAATGTACGTTTCTGTTTGTACTTCTTTTAATTTTGAAATGACGGAATATATATTTGGGTGAGTGGAATTAAAACTTGAATTAAAATGCGCATAAAATGATACACATGCATTTTTTGTTAAATACGTTTCAACTGATGCACTGGCCCACATTTCAGGCGGAAACAGAATCTGACACCTGACATTTTCGGGCCGAGTTTACAATCGATTTATTTTACCATCTGAAATTTCCGGGCCGAGATTACAATCTACCTATTTTTATTACCTAAAATTATCGGGCCAAGTTTACAACAAAAAAGGTAACTTCGGGCCCAGTTTACATTTGCCCAGAATTTACTTGTTAAATTTGCAGCATGCAGAAGATAATTGCCAAGAAATTAAAAATTTTTTTTATTTTTGTAACGTGAAAGTAATGAGTTACTTTTCTATTTTAAAAGTAAAGTAATTTCATTACAATTTTATTTGAGTAACGAGTAAAGTAACTTAATTACTTTTTAAAAGTAACTTACCCAACACTGATTATATTATACTAGATATTGAATTATTATAATATGCGCACAATGCACATTCACCGAGTTCATATATACGTGGTAACAGGAGGTAAAAATAATTATATATACAGGACTATTCTTTTATCATAGACTACTCATTATTTTCAAAAATATTAATGTTAATAAAAATATTTTTTTTTAAATTTTTTATCCTAATAATATTTTAAGTATTTACTTTTTTGAATGACAACATACAGTTTAAATTTAATCTTTGAAAAAATATTTTTCTGAGTATTTTGATACCTACATAAAAGTCATATTTAGCCTACAGCATGGCTTAAATATACAAGGTTATTGCAATAGTACCCCCTTCCCCCACAATATCATTTTATCATGTCAAGGAATTAAAATGGCAGCGTAAGGGGACGACGTATACTGGCTATACTATGATATTATGTGCATGATATGGACCGTACCCTTACAATGCCATTTTATTTTTGTTTGATAACAATATAGGCTAAGTGCAACCCCGTATATTTAACTACAGGCTACAACACGTACACGTAAATACGTCGTTACTGCGGCACGGCGCCGAGTGCCCGACGGTGGTAGAGATCGACGACGGCGCACAGTTGAACAGTGGCAGCGAACCGCGTTAGGCGATCGTGACGGGCGGTAAGCGGCAAAGGGACCGCGAAGTCAAGCGACCGCGGTTCGACGGTTGACGGATCGAAAACCGCGTTTGTAGTACCAGGGTTTCATGCGGAAGGAGCCGTTCTCTACCTCTCGGTCGTCACTGGCCACTGTCTCGTTCGCGTGTCTCGGCGGGGCGGCGTACCACATGTCCACATGCGTTCCTAGTACATTAGGTCTAATAGTATGTTAGATGAGCATTTAGATCTTTTTTAGGGTTCCGTACGGTAAAACGGAAGCTAAGGTAATTAAGCTGTCCATCCGTCCGTCTGTCACCAGGCTGTATCTCATGAACCATGAAAGTTAGAAAGTTAAAATTTTCACAGATTATGTATTTCCGTGGATGCTATAACAACAAATACTAAAATTCCTTTTTTTTCGAATTAACGAAGGACGGAAGAAGCGGGTTAGCATTACTTCTCCTCAATACTAAAAATCCTAGAATATATAATATAAGCAGTGTTGCCAACATAGCTGATGATGGTACTTGACCCTTCGTGGGAGAGTCGGAATATACAATTTTTAACTACAAAATTATTATTAAATTTTAAATGTGATACATTTTTTAAAAATTTGATCTTTAAATACTTATAAAAAATAAATGTGAAAATGTATTTTTAATATTTTTCAACTACTATTGTAACAATATAGCAGGAGCCTTGCATTAAATTTTCACGATTTTTTACCCAACAAATAAAATTTTATTGATATTTATAGAAAAAAAACTAAAAATTATTGAAAACTGACAATGTCCGTAAACAGCTCAAAAACAGTCAAATTATTTTCAAAATTGTATGGTGTATAGAAAATGCTAATATAAACATTCAGTGAAATTTTCAAGCATCTCCAGTCATTCGTTTTTTAATTACAATAAAATAAGAAAATCGTTACATGAGAAATCGAGTGAATATCAAATGTTGTAAAAATATGAATTTAAAACGCTCATAAAAGTTTAATTTGAGTTTCTTATAGACATTTTTCTTTTGGTAAAGGTAGAAAATTTCTTATGAATTTCTAACTCAAAATAATTTGAAAATTTTCGTCATGTTTACATTTTTTTTCAATACTTGAACTTTAAATGCTTATAAAAAAAATTGTGACTACGGATTTTTAATTTTTTTCATCTGATTTTGAAGCAATATACTATAGGAGCCTTCTATTAAATGTTAAAGCGTTTTTAACCAACAAATAAAATTGTATTGATATTTAAAGAAAAAAAACTAAAAAAAATGGAAACTGAAAATGTTCGTAAACAGCTCAAAATAAGTCAAAATATTTGGAAAATGTTATGTTGTGTAGAAAATACTAATATAAACATTCAGTCAAAATTGCATGTACCTACGGTCATTTGTTTTTGAGTTGCACCAACAACAAAAATCGATTTTTTTGAAAACAGATTATGCTTACAAATTCCCGTTTTTCCTTAATTTCCCCGAAATACAGCCTTAGCCGCCCCCAAAAACCTAGGACATACAATTTTCATATTCTATACTGCAATGGTCTGTGCTTGCTTTTAATATATTCAGCCCCCCAAGCCAAAAGTTGAAATTGCACCTATGTTATACATACATACAGTACCTACTTAATATAGTTTCCTTTGATTTAACAGAAATTAGGGAGCTAAAAATATAAAAATATCTATATGTACAGCGAGACATATGAGATACATTAAGATACGGTCCATAGTTTATAGTTTTGTTTCATTTATAATAATAATGCTTTGTAATAATGTTTTACATAAATTAATATTGAATAAATTTGGCTTAATGATTTGTTTGAACTATTTGTATGTATTTTTGGGAGATCAGTATTATTGCAACACAGTTACCAATATGAGTCTGACTGCACCACAGTTTAACCTATAGATTAATCATTACTTATTACCAGGGCGGTGAATTAAATGCATTTGCATATTTTTTTGATATACAGTATTAAATAATGGATACGCTCAAGATTTGTTTTGATTTACTTTTTTTTATAGTTTAAATACGAAATCTTATTTAGCATATAATTTAACGAGTTAGGGTAAATAATAACATGTTTTCTTGGTTACCTAGATAGTATGTAAATTAAACTTTTTTTTTATACAAATACGAAATCCCATGCCTATATTATGATTGATGGGTTAAGTGTTTAGGCATTATTAGGCATAATTGCATGTTTTCATGATTTTTAGATTTTGAGTGGAATGATGAATGTATTGATTTTACAATGATGTGTACTTTTTTTTATTTTTATTTTTTGTTTTGTATCTGTGTACAAATAGAAGTCGAAATAAAGCATCGATTTTCAACTTCAGAATCTTGTTCGATGGGAAAGTGAATATTGTTGCCTGTTGGTGCTTGGAGAGGTCAAAATTTAAAATTCCCAGTAATTTTCAGAAGAGCCAAGAAAAATTAAGTAAAAAAGGGAATTTTTACGCAAAATGGGATTTCCATAAAATCGATTTTGGTTTTTGGTGTAAATCTAAAACAAATGAACGTATACTGTTACCACGATTAAAGATATCTTAAATCGTGACCGTTACTCAAACATTCGTTTTGTATTTCTCAATTCTCATATAATATAGATGGTCGATACTTGCACCAACGTCTCTCGACATAGTGAGCAGGAGATCGGCTTTTTTTGAAAGTACCATCAAATTAGGCATGTAAAAACACATTTTGAAAAAAAAAATTCCAAGAAATTATGTTTTTAAATGATGACAACTATTTTGAGTCTTTATCTTTAATCGTGGTCCATACCACGATTTATACCAGTGACGCCAAGGTAAGAAACATCAAGAATTCTGGTCTTCATGGAATAAAGTACTACTCTAAACTATTATCATGAATTATCAAATCTACTTATCTACCGCGTGTACATCACTATTCAATATACGATGCACTTAAAATTTCTTTTGAATTTTGAGTCAAATAGACAATAGTCAAAACTTTTCAGTTTATTCTGTCCAACTACCCTGTATACCGTGAAATTAGACACTACGTTAAAATGAAACAATTAACGGATGACAGGATGAAAGTATTTTTCGAAAAATTGTCAAAATAGTAAGTTCATTTATTTACATACATGCATAGCTTAAGACTGAAGTTAATTTTATTGTATTATTGCCTTGGGTGAAATCTTTCTATACATCATATAAATATAAAACATTGGTATAAATACACATTTTTATAACCAACTAACTTGTCGAAACAAATAGTTTTGAACGTTAGTCAGAACAATTTATCTGGCATTTGTTCATTAGATAGATTTGCAAAGGGTACTCCATTTTAAATTTTCTATCAATGTATTTTGTTTTCCAACAACAATATTAAAAGGCTATGTATGTTGATTATTATATTTTCATTCAAATTATTTTTTGGAATTAATTTATTGACTGTCTTTATATAAGTATTATGTGAGTTTAGACTTAAATCATATTTACTTCCCACCTAACCATTCAATAAATTTACATTTTTAAAATTTAATACAAAACACAAGTGTTAATTTTCTTGTTAATAAAAATGTTGCTACTATTTGTTTTGTATATAAAACCAACTGTTTGTTTATAACTAGATTAATGTACTCGTTTATTTAAATAAATTATCCTACATTATAAAATAAACGAACTTACTCAATAATGAGGGACACTGTAGACCTGTTATACAGTGGTTTTTATCTAGAAACTATGTAAGTAGGCACCTAACAATATAATATGTTAACTGTTAATAATTAAGTAAAACATTGCTCAAAATGTCAACATTTTTACGAACAGTTGGATAGTAAAAATGAAATTTATTGATGGGTCTATTCGTACATCTATTAAAATGGGTATTTCAGTGTTCAAAAATATTATGTACTATCATACTAGTCTATGTTTGGTAGTTGGGGTAATACAGTATTGTACTTTTGAAGTTTTATTTCTGTGGTATTTTTTTCTACCGCCATGTAGGTAAAATAATATTACCTAATACTTTGTTAAAACATTAATGAGTAAGAATTAATTTTAAATTTGTGTGTATTTTTTTTATATTATTATTATTATTATTATTATTATTATCTTTATTTTAGCATTGGCTCAAATATAAAGTTATTAATTGATCGTTCAGATGGAAAATACTGTTTTCGCGAGAAGAAAGATCGAGTTTATTATGTATCTGAAAAAGTATTAAATATGGGATCCATGATGAATCCTGATAACATAATTAGTATTGGCACATGTTTTGGAAAATTTACCAAGTCTGGAAAATTTAGAATACATATAACATCTTTAGATTATCTAGCTCCATATGCTCAGGTAAAATATAAATCCGTATTTTCATTTTTGTTCATTTTCTATATGAACTGCTTTTACTATACTTAATTGTTCTTTTAGCATAAAATGTGGATAAAACCTGCCGCTGAACAACAATTTCTGTATGGTCATAATGTTTTAAAATCTGGTCTTGGGCGAATTACAGAAAGTACTACTCAATACCAAGGAGTTTTAGTATTCTCAATGAGCGATGTTCCTTTGGTAAATATAGTTATATAATCTTTAAAATATTATTTTAAGTTATATATTTATTGATTTGTATACTTGTAGGTATACATATTTATTATTTAGGTTATCTGTTTAACAACTTTCATTGTGATTTTGGACAAAATTTGTTGTTTTTATTTTTCTTTGATATGGAAAAAATGAGCTATGACTAATTCATTAATTCACCTTAGATCCTATAGAAAAACTTTAAACTAAATTTGTCAGTTTAACTTAGTTTTATGACCATTTCACTATAGAACTGAATTATTATTGGTGAAGGATAATGTTAACTTAGTGTTATTTCTATTACTAATAACAACAATTATCCTGCAACACATTTTCATGTCTGATTGACAAGTACCAATGTATGCAATTGACAATAAGCAATATGAAGAGAAGAAATATTATTTTGTATTTTATTTTATATATGTTCATTCTTAGATAAATGTGAATTAATTTTTAATTGGCTATCCCAGCCTTGGATAATATTCTTAACTTTAAATTTGACCGGTCAATTCACTCAAATATTAATAATAATTAAGTGAAACAGATTCTTCTGAATATTACATTTGATTTCCCATGTTATGTGTTGGTAAGATGAATACAACACAATATGTAGGTATAAAGTCCTCTTAAACTTAACATGCATAAAATAAATACCATATAAGAAGTTTGAATTGAACACACAGCCCTTATCACATATATTTAAAAAAACTTTTAATAATATAAATTTGTCAAAATTACCATGTAGATATTATGAAAATAACAGGATAATAATATTAAAAATAGAATATCCTCCACCAACCTCCAAAAAATTCTTAATCCCAACCCCTAGATCTCATTCAATCAAGTTATTTAAATACCTAATTCTATCTAATGTGTGTCATATAATTTATACCATTGTATTTAATGTATGAATAATTGAATATAATAGTTTTTAGATAAAGCTTAAATTTTGTTAAATAATATTGTTATTCCAATAGCCACTGTAGCTAAGGAAGGATGTTTATTTTGTAAAATGAAATTTAATTTAAACAACTTAACAATTGTTCAAATTCCTTAAAAATATGAATTTGAAGTTCAAATTTCACATTCTATTTAATATAAGTAGTGATGTTCATGAAACATTGTGTCTACAATAATCATTTTTCTTTTTTTTTTTAATGACATGAATATAGTAAATCAATTAAAATATTTTATTTTATTTCAGGGTTTTGGTGTTGCGGCAAAAAATACTACTGAATGTAAGCACACTGATCCACTATCTGTAGTTTGTTTCAATCAAGCCGATATTGGTGAATTTATTCGATGTGAAGATGATTTAATATAATACAATACGTGCATTATTATTTAAAATATTTTTAATAAACACTCATTGACGTTTTTAATTGAAGTTGAATTGTAAATTGTAATTGAGAGCTTTGAAAAACTATTAGTTTTAGATTCTGTGCTGAGCAATGTATTGATTTTATAATTATGTTTTTTTCGTGTGTTGTGTGTGTCTGTCATTACCTTTTGAGTTTTGGGGCAGTATAAATAGTTTTCAAACCGAGAAAAACAGTTTAAGAAATTAAGGGTTTTTACGCATAACCTTTTTTTGTTTTTGTTGTTTTTTTCAATTTTGGTTTTTGGTGTAACTATAAAAAAATAAACATATATACATGAAATTTTCACTAAATGTTTATATTAACATTTTCTATACACCATACAATTTTAACACTTTTTGAGCTGTTCATAAGCATAAAAAAATGTTGATTTTCATTATTTTTATTTGACTATTAATTTAAGATTCTACTAATAATTGTGTAACGCTGTTTTCTCTACATGAATATCCTCTCAGCATCTTCCATTGCTGGCAGAATAGTAAAATGTAATTTTTCCATCCTAAAAAACTTATTTTAGGTAGGTACTAATCAGTGCCGCAATTAGTATCCTTGGGGCCCCGAACAAAGTCAATGTGTGTAAGGCCCTGAGATACGTACAAAAATAAATAATGATTGTGATTTTTTTTAAAAAGCCTAAAAATATAATGTGAAGGCCTACTACCCAGTGACTATTTATAGATAAATATAGATATTATTATGGATAAATAGGGGCCCTGTCCTTTGACAAAAAATTAGGTAACACAATAAATTATAAAAATAAACATTTTTATTGAATATATTTTAATTGATTTATACATTAGATTACAATGCAATTATTTAAAAATTTAAAATAGATGCTGGGCCCCCTGAGCCAACGATTAGCGGCCCTCTACAGTGGAATTTCCCCGGCTCCCCATGCGGTTGTTGCGGCACTTGTACTAATGTACTATAGATTTACCTTTTCTACTTTCAGTAAAATTACTACTTCCACGGCAATTTTTAATTTTATTAGTACTGTGAACTATTCTAGAAACCAGCCATTAAAACAGATGACAAATTTAAGAAACTTATTAAACTCCCTTCTTTTACAGAGATAATTAATTGTTTAGTTGAATTTTTTTTTTATAAATACAGTTCATTTATAATTTCTAAACTAAAATGTTTTCTTCTTAAAATAAAAAAACCGGTCAAGTGCGAGTTAGACTTGCTCACGATGGGTTCCGTACCATCGTCCATCATCTATAAACATGTTGCCAGCACTGCTTATATTATATATTCTAGGATTTTTAGTATTTATTTTGTTGTTATATCGGCAACCAGTGGCGTAGCCTGAGGGGTGGCTAAGGGGGCTATAGCCCCCCCCCCTTGGCCGGTGTTGACCTTAGAATTTTTTCAAGATTAATAAAAAAAATAAAAAACACATTGTATTTGTATACTTAGCCCCCCCCCCTCATAAAAAATTCCTGACTACGCCACTTGGCGGACAGAAATACATAATCTGTGAAAATGTCAATTTTCTAACTTTCATGGTTCATGAGATATATCCTGGTGATGGATGGACGTACGGACAGCGGAGCCCTAGTAATAGGGTCCTGTTTTAACGTACGGAACCCTAAAAACCATATTGTAATATGTTTGGGTGTATTCCAGATTTCTTGATAATATTATACATCTAATACATAACCACCAGAATATGTGTAATCGAAAAGGATCTAGTGCTTAGTATTTTAGTAATCTTATCTTAATACTTAATAGTATATGTAAATAGACAAATAGTATTAAAACTTTTTTCAAGAGCAATATTCATTTTCAACTTTTAGTTGACATTTAGTCTACGATTTACATGTTAAAATTACAATTGTAATTACTAATAAAATCTGTATTTAATTTTTAATTTATTTATTTGAAATGGCAAAAAGACAAAATACTATATCTAATGAATTTCTTTACAAAACTTTGGAAAAGGAAATGGTGTGATAAAACAATATTAGAACGATCTCCTGAAATACTCGTAGCATATTCAAACTGTAACCAAATTTTTGGCTCCAAATATTTCATTTTTATTAAAAGTTCTAGCAACTTTGCTAGTAACTACGGCAACACCGGAAAGAACTTTTTTGAAGCTGAAAAGAATAAAAAGTTGCCTAAGAGATGCAACTGGAGGACCCATGACTTGCAAATCATTACTCAGTGTTCAATGTTCATAGAAATATTTTTGTATCTTAGATTTAAAAAGAAAATTTTTTATGAATTTCTAACTCAAAATAATTTGCAAATTTTTGTGGTTTTTAGATGTTTTGTCAACATTTGAACTTTGAATGCTTATAAAAAAAATTGTGACTATTTACAGAAAACATTTGACATTTATAGAAAATAAAACTAAAAAAATTGGAAAATGAATATGACCATAAAAAGCTCAAAACATGTCTAAATATTTTGAAAATTTTATCGTGTATAGAAAATGCTAATATAAACATTCAGTGAAAATGTCATATATCTACAGTCATTTGTTTCAGAGTTACACCAAAAACCAAAATCGAATTTGTCGAAAACCCTTTTTACGTAAAAATTCGGTTTTTCTTAAATTTTTTTTTCGTTATTCCCGACGCTTTTGCAAACTACTGGGAATTTTGATTTCCTTTGCACAGTTGCACCAACTACTAACTAGATCCACTAATAGTTAGTTTTATCATGGATCCACTTTCCCATCAAACATGTAACAAGATACTGAAGTTGAAAATCGAAGTATTATTTCGATTTTCGACTACTTATCGTGTAGACACGAAAAGTAAAACACATATCATTGCAAAATCAATACCTTCATTCATCGCCCCTCCCAGAATCTAAAATTTTTTTTTGTAAGCAATTATTATTTTATTTTTATCCTTGATTAATTTTGGAGGTATACGTGCGTATCTTTATAGTTTATAATATAAAAAAAAATATAGTAATTGTACATAGGGACAGGGTATAGGTACTCTAAATCAGTCATTTATATAATATTGCCTATTCCCGTGTATATGTATACCCTCCAAAACACAGCTACATTGTAGTGCACGAATTAGCACGATATTATTTACAAGTAGATTGTTCTGTGGTTGTAGTGAGGGCAAAGTACTTAATTTATAACTTATGGGGCCCAAATGTGCCAAATATACACAATTTAACAATAACAATAAAACAATAATGAATAAGTTATAATATTCCGTTCGGTACTGCCACTTGTCAGTTTTTATATGTTATCTTAGTCCGTGGTCAGTTGTTGTCACTGTAATACTATCGCAGGACAAATGACAATAAACAATACAGACTGTGTGTAGTGTAGTGCGTAGTCAGTAGTCACAGTTTAAAGAATAATACTAATTCTTTAAACTGTGGTGTAATAGTTAAGTTAGTTCGTACTCAGTAGTCGGTTCACGATTGAAGTCACCATATTATATTTTCTCCCCGTTGATGTCTAATGGCTATTATGATACATTCTGTTTTATGACTTATCATTGTGCTTATACGTGTTCAAAATAGTATTCCAATTAATGCGAACAACTTAATTAACTTCTGTTAATTTAAATTTTAGTTGTAATAGGTACCTAGTGTCTAGACTCAACCTCAGAATTATTAGACATTGTTAGGAAATCACGACTGTATCAACGGTTCCTATACTATTTCCCGTCCGATCGGTGCCATAGTAGTACAAACTGGATTCCTTCTGCAATTTTGAAGATGAATAAAACGCGAACTATATTCATTTTGGATGCGGGGGCTTTGTTTACCCTACAGATATTGCAATTCTTCAGTCTGGACTATTACGTCATGATTGTGTTTCAAGACACATGGTACTCCAGATATCCAAACACACTGTTCCTGGTGCTCAACATAGTGTTGACATTACTGTTCTACCATACTTTCCTCAACTGTTACAGAGAATACAAATATGAACGTAGTAAGAAGACAGGAGATCTAGTTGAATGCAAAGCCAAGTATCCCGTGTACCTAAACTGTATCACCTGGGCAACATATGTGACCGTGTTGTTCAGCAAAATTGTAATGATTTTCTCCAACAATGTTATCTCGTTGGTCTCCAACGATGATTTCATGGGACCACAAATGCTAAAGGTAAATTACTTATTGATTATAGTCTATTGCGCCATTATACAATAATAATATGATACATTGACATATCTTTAATAATTTTAAAAATGTCACATTTGTTTTTCTTTTTAGTTGCTTATTGGAGTTTCCGGCATTGTATTTTATTTGTTGATAAGTGCTGAATGTTTTGGACGGCAAGTAGATCGTGATAAATGGCCAACAAATGCGTGTATCATTGAGATTTTTGATTCTGTTGAAATATTATCAATAGTCATAGCATCAGACGTTAAAATTGGATTCTTGGAGTATTTGATCTACATTACAGCCTTTTTAAACTTTATGTTACCATTATGGGTACTGTATAATGTATCTCAACCTGACGTTGATACCAAGCCAATGGGACTTCCGCAACCAGTATGTTATAATTTCATGCATTTAATGTTAGTTCAAATGCCTTTTTTGGGGATACGGATGTACATGTGGATTGTGTTCAATCAAAATGCCTCAGTGTTCATTATGAAAAATGTGTTACATTTATTATTCTTTTTGCATTCACTATACCCATACATAAAAGAAATATCTAAGAAAAACCAATATAGCCCAGAAACTTGTCATGATGAAGCTGTGCCAGAAATTCTTTTAACTAATCGTAAGCATGATGAACCCATTGAGTTGCTTTAAATATGCTTAATATGTTAATACAATAATATAACCAACTATTGAAACAAAAGGGATTTATTTTTAAGTTATAGATAATAATAAGTATATTGTATAATTCATTTTATTTCAAATAATATGCATATACTTATAGTGGGTATACAATAATGTATATTTCTTTTAAATTAGTATAAAATATAGTCCAAATATAAGACTTATTTTACGTTTTTAGTTACACGATTATTTTTGTTGTAATATAAATATAACTTTTGGTGAACAATAGAAAAAATTAATATTCTAGTCTAAACTATATCTCATTGGCTTACGTTTGTATTTTATAAATTGGAAAACTAAATCTCTTTTAAAAGACTAAATTTTAAATAGTATACACTAATTAATATAATATTATTATACAATTTTATAATGTTTAATCTACACATTTAATTTGTGTTAATTTGTATCTCATAACCACAATTTGAATTGTATTTTTTACTTTTTACTTTTTATGTATAAATGTGATCAAAAAAGACTAAATCTGTAGTTTAAGCTTATATTATGTTTAAAACTGATTCTCAAACATTATGTCAAATATAATTAAGACTGATATACATTTTATATTTTTATTTAAACCTTTATAACATGTAATTTTTATCTTTTTTAAGATGGAATTTTATAAGTTCAATTTCGTTTAAGTAATGCAATTGTATACATATTTTTTTCCTTGGTATATTAGACTTTACATAATACATTTTATTAAGACTGTTTTTCATTAACTTTAACAGCATTTTGTACTAACTAATATATTTAAATTATAAGATATTATGTAATTTTATTTATAAATAATTATGAAAATTGTAAAATACATTTATATTTATATTTATTTACATTTATATTTTATACACACAATGACGTTTTAAAATGAAATTTTTTCGGAAAAAATTAATTGAACCTACTTACTGTATTACTAAATATGTTGAACAGTAAAAGAAATTCTTTAATACCATTAATATAATAAAATATATTTAGTAATATAGAGTGACAGACCATCTTTGGTTAATATCGTTTTTCGTATACAATGATTTTACATCATTGAATTCAACACATCCATTGCAGTGACTCCTTTAGATACCATAGACATAGTAGAGTTCTATTATGTCTATGCTAGACAGTAGACACCTTCTGTACAGCAAAGCGGTACCCACTTGCCACTTTTTTATTTTGAAACTTGATAATATTCATGTTTGGTTCGAAGTCCAATCCCTGTGGCTGTCAGATGCTCAGCTTTGTTCTGAAATATGGTATTTGTTTCTTGTCTCATAAACTGTTGGCTGTTGCTATAGTAACTATTATTGGTAATAATCAGTATATACTAGTATATTCCTCTTGTGTTCACTGTTCAATAACACAAATTATACTTGAAAGTTTTACCTGATCAATAGTTTTACTAACAATATAAATTATTGTTTCTAAATTTTATTTCTTACAATAATTAAACTACATATTTTGTAGTACCTATCTGGATAATACCATTAAGTTTATAATAAAATTAATAATAATTCCTTCTACTTATAGATATTTGGTTTTGTTTTATTATATATCTGGTATTTAAGTTTTCCGTTTGGGAATATTTAAACAAAATACAATGTCTATAGTTACCTTCGAGAAGCCTGTGCCCAAAGTAGCAGAGCCCGATTGGTATTACAAAATAACGGAATTAAAAGAATCTTGTGATGAACATAGGCGTCATGCATTTGTATTGGGAAATGAATCTCGGAGGTTAAGGAATGATACAGATGTCACTACTTATTGGGGTACACATCGTACAAATTCTAAGATCTTTGACAGGTAAGTACTCTATGATTTTTACTTTTATTTAAAACAGTGAAATATACGAATAACTTTTATATATTTAGACGCATTGAAATAACGCGCTGGAAAAATTTAATTGAATTAGGTTATAAAAACTTACAAAAAGAAATTAAAAATTTGAAAATCGAAAAAGAAAAAACTGAAAAATTTATAGAATTTTTAAATTTGAACTTTACTGTTACAAATCATTGCTTAAGTATAAGAGATGAAAGAGGTGGTGCAGATTTGTGTCATGATATTGCATCTATTGAATTAAAAAATGTATGTATTGTTTAGTTATATTGCCCAATTATAATAAGTATTAAGTGATGTTTAATATATTAAAATATCAAGAGTTTGTTTAGGAACAACACACTTTGGAAAAATTGAAAAACTTGTTAGTTGGAATATGCCAAATTGCATGGGAAAAGATTAATAAGTTAGAAGAGTTGGAAATTAATGTTGCCGAAGACTTAGACAAAAAGAATAATACAATAAACATAGATAGTGAGTTGTTAGAAATGACTAAAGATTCAAACAATATCTCCCTCAAACCAGATCCACTAAGAGTTACAAAAGAGTAAGTTTTCAAAACTTATAATATTGTTGTTACATTTCTGGGAGTTTAGCTTGAATATTTCATTATGTTGAAGCTAATTACCTTTTTATAAACTATTATTTATTAATGGGTTGTTTTACAAACAAAAAACAGTTAATAATAAATTACTAATAAATCTACAAGATTTGGTATCAACAAGTTAAATATAATTTTTCCATACATTTTAACAAAAATTTAGCTATAGGTTCAATTATTGTACGCCAACTGCTAATCAAAGTAATAATGATATTTTTTTTTTTTTTTTTTTATTGATCTTTAAAGTCCGGCGACTATGGCCATTAGCTGATTGTGGGGTTTTATGATTGTAGATAGTAGGGTTTGTAATGGTAGGTTTTTACACGCGTGTGTTGTGTTTGGCAGAATTGTTGATTGGGCACCTGTAGGTATCTGCCATGCCCGGGTGGACCAAATTTTCAGGAGGGGCAAAGCAAATTTTTGGGGGGGCATTATATATAAATGTATTAAATATTAATGCAATTTTTAATTTATTTACATTGACATCTCATTAAATTAACACAACTATAATTTTCCATCTAATATCCATTTATAATAGAATATTTTGGGCATTTACAATGAAACATTTGTTTTAAAGTTACAAAACGAATAATACTAAATAATAAAAATAAAACTTATATTAGAGTTTATATTAAAGTTTTCATAGATAATTATAATATTCATCATATTCACTGATGTCTGATGTTACGTGGTTAAATTTTAAACATTTTAATCTTAATACAGCTTCAATTTTCTATTCTTCTGCTTGTGGAAGTTCGTTAATAATAGGTCCATGTTTAAGTTTTTTGTCCGTTTGGACTCAAATGCCAATAAAGTTAAGTTGGAAAGCCGGTTATGTGACATTGATTGCCTTTGAGGATTGTCAACTCTGTTTAAGCAGGAAAATGTCGATTCACAAACTGCTTAGCTACATCCAAATACTTCAACCGCTGCTATCATTTCATTTGTAGCCTTAAATGCTTTACGTTGTTGATAAAGCTCTAATAAGATGTTGTTATTAGATATATTATTTTCTTTTAAATAATTTTTTACACAAATTATTTCTTCTTTTGAAGGAATATTAATTTTAAGATCATTAAATATTTTAAAATCATCGTAATTCAATTCGTATATGTTAGAAACAGCTTTAATAAGTTCATCATTTTTTTCAAAACGAGTTTCCATCTTAGATTTAATTATATCAATAACTTCATGAAATGTAGATAATTATGAAATATTAATATCGTCGTTGACATAATTTGTATAAGTACCAGGTGATTCACTTAAAATATATTCATTCAATTTTGTAGTAGTCTTTCTCTTCCGTTTTGGAGATTCAGTTTCGGTTTCAGGTAATAAATGTTCACAGTCTTTTAAAATTGCATTGAACACTTCTTCATTTCTTGATTGTTTTAAACTATTAACCACGCTATGAATAATTGGAATTGCTACGGTTAAACCAGTTTCTCTTGATTGCAAAATAAACATCTTTCTAATATTTTTTAGGGGGGCAACGCCCCCTCTTGCCCCCCCCCCCATGTGGCTACGGGCCCAGGGTGGGGGATGGCGGCACTTGTTCTCCGGACACTGTGACTTATCCGAAGAAAAATGCCCCCCTTGGCCAAAGAATCGAATTCGGATCGGTTGTGTTGCAGCCGACTCCTTAGTCCGCTCGGCCACTCCGTCTCTCAATATTAATTCATATGTTAAATTATATAGTTAATTTTCAAGCAGTAAGTTTTTTCACTTTTGTATCTTACGATGTCACAAAAGAAATGTAAATTTGCAATTAATGTTATTTTTATCGTTTGATTGTGATAGAAATATGTTTAGTTATTATTATTATTTTTTTCTACTGTTCAAATGTTTTTTTCTTCATTGATGGTTTTTACACTGATTATATGTTTAATTAAGTCTACTTTAGGTATTAATGGATTTTGGTTTTTATATGAATATTTTATTAATTTGTCAACCAGATGAGTTCATAGGTATTAGGTTCTGAACTTCTGTGGTTTAAGGTATACATTTTTAAAAACTAACTAAACTTGAAAACTAATGAAAACTAATAAATATAAATTTGTAGCTTTGCCAATTCCCAGTATTCATTACCTGTTACCTTTAATATCTATAATATATATACTATATACATATGAATAATTAATTTAATATAATACTTATTATTTTAAATTTTAAAACTGTAGTTTCAATACATATGAAAAATGGCTCCAACAGTGCATTAATATGAAACAGACAATTGAGAATGAATTAATTAATTCAACAAAATTACGTGAAACTTTGTTCGTGCCACAAAATAAAACTATAAATGATCTGCTAGCTCAAAATGACAAAGTAAATTATGGTCTCAGAAGGCGTATTTATGATACAGAAAGAATTAAGAATGAATTAGAATGGCAAAAATGGAACGTAAGGAAATTAATAAAAAAAACAATTATTGTGATATTTGTGATGTAGGTAATGATTATTTGTAGATGTTAACAGACAAGGATAAATTTTTGAAAGAAATTGAAAAGTTAGAAAACGCTTTGTATAGAAAATTGAATCCTAAAATGTTAGTTGAGACACGGTGCGAAGAAAGATTGTATAGGGCTGGTGTTGAAATGTGCCTTGATAAAACTACTATTGGTTTGCATAAAGAACAATTTGATCTTGATAATACCATCAAAATGTTGAACGATAAGCTAAATAAAACAAAGTAAATAAACAAAGTATTATATACTAAATGCTAATGCATAGTAAATGTCATGTTTTGATTACCTATTTATTTATTTTTACAGGGCTTTGCATAATATTCTTATTGAACAAATAAATATACTAGACGAGCAACTAAAAAATAAGACTCATGCATTAGATGTTGACCAGAAATGTCTACAGTATAGAGTACAACTGAATGGCCGGAGTTGTAGCTAGTAATGTATTGACTAATAGGATATAATATTTATTTATTTATTAAGATTTGATGGGCTATTATTAATATTATATTATCTTAGATTTTAAAAAAATCGCCAACAAATTTGAACAAGTATTATAATCTCACATAGGTAGTTTTAGACAAATTTTATAATTTTTGGGTTAACCAAACTCAACTCACCACTGTTTTTATTTCTTTAATAGCACTTACCTATTATTATTACTTATCATGTTAAAAATTAACATAAACTAAGAATAGGTACTTTATAAATTATAGTAGATGATTTAGCCATAGGCCCAAATAGGGGGGCTTTAGGGGCTAAGCCCACCCACAAATGTCCATAGCCCCCCAAACATTTCCTACATTTTGTTTTAAGCTTATTCAATATTATCAAAGTAAGGCTTTAGCCTCTCCAAATCCCAAATGCTATTTGCGTCTATGGATTTAGCATTATCTTGAACCTATAATATTAAAAAATACAAATTAATTTGTAACTTTATTTATATTCATTAATTTAATTTGTTTGAATTAAACTTTACGTTTTAAAATATATTAAGTAAGTACCCATAAATGTATTTTTATTTTAAATCACAATATTTATTATTTTTTATATCAAACTTTTAAATTACCTACCTATACAATATTATATATTTGTCAATACAATTATCAAATATCAATTAATTACAACGATTGAACAATTCCTATACTTTATTATTGTCAGGTTTGAATATAATCTTATATTCTTAAACAATTAACAATTAATAGTTTTGTTATTTTTAAGTTTGGTAATATCAATTCACTCTTATATTAAACTTATTAAAGCTAACAAGTAAGAACACAAAATTGTTATTTTTTCTACTGAATTCAAATCTGTCGTTGAGGGTACCAATGTATTACAATTTACAACATAGCGGGTGTGGCGTCATAATAAAGTCTTAATATGAGTACCTATAAAAAAAATAATTGTACCACAATAATTGCCAATTGGACATCCAGCGCGACGGTAGTGGCGCGAAGCTAAGTAAAAAAAAACCGGCCAAGTGCGAGTCCGACTCGCTCATGAAGGGTTCCGTACCATCATCAGCTATGTTGACAAAATGACAACACTGCTTATATTATATATTCTAGGAATTTTAGTATTGAGGAGAAGTAATGCTAACCCGGTTCTTCTTCCGTCCCTCGTTAACTCGAAAAAAAAGGATTTTTAGTATTTGTTGTTATAGCATCCACGGAAATACATAATCTGTGAAAATTTCAACTTTCTAACTTGCATGGTTCATGTCGTTCATGAGATACAGCCTGGTGACAGACGGACGGACAGCGGAGCCTTAGTAATAGGCTTCCGTTTTACCGTACGGAACCCTAAAAAATAGCAGAGTAGCCACAGCGGAGTATATTAACAGGAAACCGAGTTTTAACATTGAAAAACCGTCCTAATTTTTGTCAATTCTTTGCCAACCTCTACACTCTACAGGGCAAACGGCTGAACATATAAAGATTATAAAGTCGTATAAAGTATCAATGGATTAGAAATTTTGTGAAGATAGGAACAGAGGAACTAGCTAGCAGATTGGTTAGATAGTTTATAAGTTATAACTTATAAGCAAAAATGTTCAAGTACTTTTAAGACCGACTTTGCATGCGGAACAGTGGGGATCGGATAAGCGGTGAGTCGGGGAATATTTAAGAACATTTTCGTCCTGACCCACCGCTATCCATCCCCATTACAACTCTTATTGCGACGGTAACGGCGGCGGCGACGACGTAGGAGTGGTAGGAGTGTAGGACGATTGGCGATTGCGATGGCACGGTCCCTCGGGGCTCGGATGCCAGTGGCCGGCAACCATTTACCAATTACCATTACACCATTAAATTTAAATGTTCGTGTATTGCTGACGAGTGACGACCAGCAAGATAGTAGGTATATAGATTATAGGTACATTCTTAAATCGTGCTGATGACTCAACCACTGTGATTGTTTAGTGAAGTCGTGATCCAGCGCGACGGTATTATATTATATTATGCTGAAAACTTGGAACAATAATAAAATAACAAAATAACAAAATAAGCAATCTGGTTATTAATTCATTACCCGTGGCAACAATTAAGGTCGATGGCAAATCATATGCTCTTAATTCTATGATTTGCCATCACGGTCCATCTATGACTCAAGTCTCAAGCCCATTAGGTACACTTCAGTTATTAAACATAATAATAAAATATGGGTTAGATGTAACGATATAATATTTATACTATAGTTTTAGAAAAAAAAAACTAAAATAGAAAAAAAAGATATAACAACAGGAAGCCAACGATGCATATGCTATTGCCTATTATGGATTATTATTATTATATACAGTGAAATAAAATTGCGACTTTTTTCATAAAAAAAATAGCTGATATCACACCAAAAACACTTCGTTATAACTCGTTGTAAAAAAAAGGTGCTCTGCTGTACAGTAGGTTACAAGTGGGTCAATGTATAATGGATGGTATTAAATTTGAATTCAATGATATAATATCATTGTATCAGAAAAACGATTCTGAGCGGAGAAGGTATGTTAGTCTAGGCTTAAGACATATTAAATACATATAGGTATCTATGGAATTTTAAAAAATATTGACCTATAATAAATTCCAAATTAATCATATCACAATATCCATTAGGTACTTATAACCCGTTTAAAAAAAAAAAACGTGATACTATCACAGATATATAAAAGTACACTTCAGAAGTTTCAAGTACTCACGAATAATATTATACAATCTCAACAAAATAACTAAAATAGTTATTCTAGGCTTTTTAATATATATTTTCGTCAAAATTTGATCTTTAAATGCTTATAAAAAAAATTGTGCCTATGTATTTTTAATATTTTTCAACTGCTATTGTAACAATATATCAGGAGTCAGGAGCCTTGTATTAAATTTTTACACTTTTGACCCAACAGATAAAACTTTATTGATAAATTGTCCGTAAACAGCTTAAAAAGAGTCAAAATATTTTCAAAATTATATGGTGTATAGGAAATGCTAATATAAACATTTAGTGAAATTTGCATGTATCTACAGTTATTCGTTTTTGAATTACAGCAATATAAAGAAATCACCACATGAGAAATCGAGTGAATATCCAATGTTGTAAAAATTTGAATTTCAAACGCTCATAAAAATTTAATTTGACTTTTTTGTAGACATTTTTTTTCTGATAAAGGTATATAATCTTATAAGGGAATCTTGTATTACATTTAAAAATCTTAGATTTAAAAAGAGAAATTTTTATAAATTCTTATTTCTTAACTCAAAATAATTTGCTAATTTTCGTGATTTTTCCATATTTTGTCAATTTTTGAACTTTAAATGCTTATAAAAAAAAACTGTGACTAAGGATTTTTAATATTTTTCATCTGCTTTTGAAACATATACTAGGAGCCTTCTATTAAATTTTCAAGCTTTTTTAACCAACAAATAAAGTTTTATTGATACTAAAAAAAATGGAAAATGAAAATGTTCCTAAACAGTTCAAAACAATTCATAACATTTTGAAAATGTTATCGTGTATAGAAAATGCAAATATAAACAACCAGTGAAAATTTCATGTATATACATTCATTTGTTTTAGAGTTACACTAAAAACCAAAGATTTTGAGTAAAAATTCCCGTTTTTCCTTAATTTCTCTTTTGTTTTTCACGGCGCTTTTGAAAACTACTGGGAAATTTTTACTTTTGATCACCCAAAGTACCAACTAGATTCACTTTCCCATTATAAAAGATACTGTTGAAGAAAATCATCGAAGCACTTTGACTGTCCTAAAAGGCGACTCACTCAAAAACATACAAAAAATGTCCAGTGGTTTAGGAGGAGATCGATGACATAGGTACAGATATAGACATTTCTTTCTTTTATTATATTCAGCCATTCAATTAATTTTACAAAAGAAAATTATTATACATTAAAACCTTCCCCATGACTCGACACATTTATTAGTGAAAACCGTATTAAAATAAGTAAAGTTCTTTTCGAGATGTACTCGTACGTACAAAAAAGGGGCTTCTATTTTATAATATATATATATATAGATATAGATAGATTAATAGATTATATTATATTAACTGTATTAATATTTAATTATTATTATATTATTTTTTATACTACACATAATAATAGAAATGTTGTATATAATATCTCGGGGCCCCCAAAAACCGGGGGCCTCTGTAAATTGAACACCCAACACTCTCTATAATTGCGCCACTAGTTAAACTAGTAACTACCTACTCAGAAAACTACAGCAGACAAGATATTGACGTTTGAGTATTAACTACAGTCTACATAGAAGATTTACAATTTATCGCAGAAACAAGACTACGGGCAACATAATTATAATATTATATGTAGTAGGTACCTAGCTGGTATACATGTGTAAGACATTAATTCCACTGTCTGAATAGTATTGAAAATAATTAAGCTGCATTGGGATGAGGAGCGGATTTTTCAGTTGGACCCAATTTGCATAAATCGCTATACCTAGTTACACAGCTAATACCTAGCTATACAGTTTAATATAGGTATAGGCTAAACTCCTAAACTCCTGGGGGTAAAAATTACGGAGTAATTATTTAATGCAGTCAATGTGGATATCAACAATATATAGATATTTAAATTTTAAATAGATTAAAAAAACGGTTAAGTGGATGTCACTGTGCTGTGCAGTAGGCTACTCGTGGGTCACGGTATAATGCAGAGGTTCTCACCCTTTTGAGGCCCATGCCCCCCCCCTTCAAACTATTATCTGAGTTCACGCCCCACCCACAAGATTGGTATAGTATACCCATAGTATCACGTTTTTTTGTTGATGCGTACTGCGTACAACGCGTTATAAGTACCTAATGGATTTTGTGATATGATTAATTTGGAATTTATTATAGGTAGGTAGGTACCTGTTATTTTTTTAAATATCATAGATACCTAACTACCTAAGTATATAATATGTCTTATACC